TTTTTTTCTCATTTTCCTGTGTCATACAAAAGACTCCAGAATTTCCGCATCTCAATAGTTTGTTTGCAAGTCATTAAAACGATTCAAAAGTAAATTAGAAAGCTATTGATCACATTAGACGTTTCTGAATGGGCTTTTTAGCGGGTCCAGCCCAAGTAGATCTGTAACCTGTACAGACAAAAACACGTAGTGAACAGAACCATGCAATAAATGGCTTTAGGAGAGCTAACATAAGGCTGCTTACTATGACTAAGCTCTAGCTGATCTCAGTTTCAGGCAGTAAATGAGCACGCAGGGTTAAAAAACACATGCAGGAGACTAAAGCGTCCCTCAGGACCGAAGGCAAAGAGAGAAAGAACGGAGGAATACAAAGTGCAAGAACCACCTGCATACATTAGTCTGTCGCCAAGTGTATATCTGTTCATTTGTTTACTACATTTAAGAGTTACAATGCTTACAAAAAAAAAAAAGAAATGCATAAATGTGGAATACTACAATAGGAAGTACTCAGGACACCATTTTAAACTTAAAAACAGTAGAAAAACAAACCGTCTTTCATTATGATTTGCATTGTTTGATGCAGCCCAGTATTTAAGCTGAATTTCGGCTCCGCAAAAACCTCATCAGACTGTAACGTGGAAATGAGTATTTGTCGTTTCCTTACGTTTTTCCTACGTCAATCAATCAGATCTTCATCTGATCCTTTATATCTCAAGTGGTTATGCAAGTATGATCACTGACTTTCCTTTTGAGGAAAACACAACGATAAAATGGTGTGAGAATAATAGTACTCAGGGGTTTCCAGCCAGTAGCCAGCTATATCCTTTTAAATGGCATGATTGCACCTCTTTTGTAAATGTACATTTTCACAGCTTTAAAGTAATGCAGAAACACGACAGGGGCTTGGATTAACTGACAAGAGCCGAGGAGAGATAGAAAGAGAAAATGTAGATTTGTGCCCAATGAGATAGTTCACCCTAAAAAGAAAACTGTCACCATTTACTCACCCTCATGTCACCCCAAACACGTATGAAATTAAATACATTTTAAAAAATGTCTCGGTTTTCAATAAAAGTCAGTTGGGTCTTTGTTTGAACGTTCTTCAAAATATGCAGAAAATGTGCAAATCAGTATGAAGGTGAGTAAATGTTTTTTTTTTTTTGGGTGAATCATTCCTTTTAAACGTGAGATTATTTGATTGGATACGATCTGTTCTGGAATCTTACATTACTATCTGGTTCAAAACGGCGAAGCTAAAGTGTTGTTGTGATCCAGAAAGCTGGTAAAGCAACAGGCGAAGTGAGCAGCTCGAATGTAACACTGCCATTACGGCCCCTTGCAAGGCACTTAACCTGACTCAAGATGACGCTCCTTAGTTAATTTGAAAAGGTCAAATTAAAAGATAACTACCTTTATTTCCTCTTCTCTAGTTTGCTCAGCCCTGTAACGCCACATCTGAGAAATCCTGCACCATGAAACAGTCACTGCACATTGTCTTCACTAGTGAAAAACGAGACAATGAGGGGGACAAGAGTGCGTATATATACTTGTATATATATGCATGTATGTATATAATATCTGTAGTTCTAATGCACTGTACTGTAGTGTCATCGGCAAATGATTTTACCAGTGTCATCCATTTGAAGCATCTAAAAGCCATTTCACCATCTAAAACATCCATTTCGTCCACAGAATCGTTCAACATAATACTACATAACTACATAGCGCCATCTGTTTTAAAGCAACAGTCCAGCCCAAAATGACCCTTATGTCATTCAAAACCTGTATAACTGACTCTTCTGTGAAACACACACACACAAAAAAAAGAAATTTTGAAGATTGATGACAACCAGTTTCAGTTCCCAACATTTACAGTAAATAACAAAAGAATTTTCATTTGTGAGTGGACTATCCCTTTAATGCTTCTCACACAAACTACCAGTTGTATCTGTTAAAAAAAAAAAAAAGTCAGGCTAACAGTAAAGGTCTTGCAAGCTTTAGTGTAGTAGAATAAAGTACCCAGAGATACGGCAACTCAACGGAAGGGGAGAAAAAGCGGTTTTGTTCTTTCCTAACGACATAGCGTCAATGCACCGACAAGTGTGTGCTTTCCTATGGCATGCAAGGGCACGTGGAGAAGAATATCCATTCATACTAAGCGAGTGTATTAAGGCTTCATATCTGCACGCTGCCAGGGCATCTGGTAGGACAATCGTTATTCTGCGCTGCTCAATCGCACCGGACAACCAAGAAAACACAGAGAGCCGATAACCTGGATTCCCGTGATGTTTCGCACACTGGAACTGGAAAAACTTAATTGATCTGTAAGGAATAAAAATGAAAATATATGTCCTGATTAGTGATAAACCGATATATTTCAGCCAGGCTGATTAATTTGCCAATATATGACTATTTTTAAACCATCGTATTGGCTGACAGCCTTGTCGAAAATAAACATTGCGTAAATGCTTCAAACTCAATATTCTGAGTAAATATTGCGTAAAATAAGGGAAATACTTAATCAGCACTCATCTGCTTATACATCACCATCAGTACTGGCCATCAAAAAACCCATATTGTAGTCCTAAAATGAATATTTCTTTCTATCATGGAGGGATCTGCACTGTTATTGTGTAGTGAGTTACGAGCATATTGAGAACACAAACCATGTCGTTACCGATGTCTCTGAAAAGTCTGTATAAGGAGTACAAGATTCGTGTAGTGCTACTGTGAGGCCAAAATGTGAGTTCATAATAAAAAGTAAATAAAAATATATTAACGTCCAGTGCATAAGGTATTCAGGCTATCATTTTAGCTCGCTGTGCATATAAGGAAGAAAAGAGAACGAAACCTTATAATCTGTCTATTATAAAGACCTGTGTGGCCAATTGAACTCAAAGAACAAGAGCGCAATTTGAAAATCAGCACCATCAGATTCGTACTGCTACGCCTCGGCTGCCTTTCGGGGAGTTTAGTGTTGGTTTTGAGAGGAAAGGCCAGGTAGCAGACCAGAAAGTTTCATACCCTGTTTTTCTAGTGTTCTCAGAGGTTCCGTGCATATTAGAAGGCATTTGTAGTTTTAAACAGGAAGACTTGAACATCCCCACAAAAGCTCCTGAAGAGTGCAGAACGTTTTTTTTTTTTCTTTGAAGGTTTGTTTTCCGCAGAAAAATTGTAATATGTAATAATGATAAGAACAAGAATTGACTCTCCAGGAGAAGAGCAGCACAATGGGGAGAGAAAAAAAAAAAACCCTTAAGGACAAAACTCCAGCTATAATGTACAACCACTCTGGATAATGATGGGCAAGAGATGCCTCATATGAGGAGGAAAAAATAAACAAGAAGAGGACAAAAAACATGTCCTTCCAGGTTGTTTTAGTGCTCTTAAGGTCGTTTGTACATGAGGTTTGGGTGCTCTGATTCTTCATGGCATAAAACAGGCAGTGCTTCCTACAAAAAGGGTCTTGTTTCTGCCTGTTATCCAGCCCCAAATTCCACCAGTGGCTGGGATCTGTGTCGGCTCAGTTTTGGGCATGGTGTCGGATGGTGTGAAAGATCCAGTCCATCTTGGTGGTCCATCCACCATGGTGAGCGTCATTCATCTGCTTCATGAAATAGTCTAGGGCCTCCTGCTCTGTTTTGTCCAGTGCCAGGGTCTTTCGGATGTAAGCGATGTCGTCGAAGGACTGCAGCTCTGGCATGCCTGAGCCCAGCATCATGGAGAAGAGATTTATGAAAAGGTTGGCATGCTGTCTGATAGCCAAGTAAGCCTTGTAGCACATCTCCTGGAACCTGTAGGGGGAGACAGTGAGACGTTCAGCTACCCTGCTGCACGTAAATAAAGTCCAAAAACTCAGAAACCAGTAATAAGTTTTTTAAATGAGTTTTTGGTTAAATGCCTGAAATGAGGTTTGTGGTTAACACCAGCTCAATACTCAATGGCTCAAAATATTTTCATATTGTATTCTACAAATTAAAATATATCAGTACAAATTAAAATACACCACATTAGTGATTTCTTAAAACTTTTAGGTTTCTTGAAAAAGCCAGTTGCTAAATAGTGGCTAAAATGGAAATGCTATTTTAACTCAAGCTTTCCAACTTAAAAGATTTCAAATAAAAATCGAAAGCGTCGCTTTCTTTTTCTTTTGGTGATTGTATTTAGGCATCAAAACTCATAAATGTTGTGTTCATTTGTAAAGCTTATCTTGATAAACCAAATGTAAGAATCATAAACTTTTGTAGGTCGCAGATCTTATTTTCTGCAATAATCCAAAAGTTCATTCAAAAAAAAAATCCATCGCTGCAACACTCTATAGATAAAGCTAATAAACTGTGAAGACAACAAAATTCTTACAAATTTCAGGAGACTTTAAATGCTTTTCATAGGAGACGACATTAAAACAATTCCTTCATATGCTTTTCACAAAAAAAAAAAAAAAAACAATTGATGAGCTCAAAACCTGTTTTGAGGGTTAGTTTTTGCAAGTATAGGCATGGATGTCTACTCCTATGACACACGGATACAAATCCGTTTTTTTTGAAGCCTCCTTTGAGTCCCAACTGAAGCGGAGATTTGTAAGAAAGCGGAAGTCTGGAGAAGAGGCAGGAAACTTGGCAGCCGGCTGGCTGTCAGAGTATTGTTGCAGGAGGAAAGGCTGCTGGGATGGAGGCCCAAGAGGCCCATTTTGAAAGCCTCTATTGTTCAACTCAATCTCTAACTGTCTCGGATAGTTAGCTGCCTGCCAATTACTATGTTAATGTTGAAACACAAAGGATTTGTTTCTGTTAAGCTAACACTGGAAAATAATTGATAATGCTTCCAACATGCACATATTACACACCTCTCAAACTCTCTGGTTTTAGTGCACTCTTGGGTTCCTCCTTTGCTGATCACAATTAAGAAGTCTTGAGTTAAGACAAACGGCACTCGCTCTCGCTTGTAGCCAAACTTCTTCTTCTTGTGGTCCAAAAAGTGACCAAAATCTATATGAAACAGCTGCAGGAACACAAGCAAAAGGTCAATATGAGGATACTGATAATGAAAGAATGTTTCATTGACATTAAAGCAGCACTATGTAACTTTTGACGCTCTAGCGGTTAATAAACAGAACTGCACACATCCCACGGAAGAACATTCCAACCGGAGCTACTTCTCTAAGTTTATGTCTATGGCGATTCACGCAGGTATGTGTTACTCCGCAGCGGTGACGACCCGACCAGGCTACAATAGTCCAAATATAAGTACTTATTATAAGTGTACCGTAGTGATTCGGAATAAGACAAAAACGCAGTTTGGAAGATGAATTCATGATGTACTCGTTCATTATATACATTTTGCAAATTTTGAACACAGAAAAAGTTACATAGTGCTGCTTTAAGGCATCTAAAGATCAAGTTCATACCTGCCCATCATCCTTCACCATGATGTTACTGTTGTGTCTGTCACCGATGCCCAGAATGAAAGTAGCCACACAATAGCCAGCGCAGGATCGTGTAAACAAGTCGATGGCCATGTCGTACCTATTAACACAGATGATTTTGTTAAAAGATATTTGAATACTAGATATTTGAATCTCATTTTGATTATAAATGGTGAAAATAATTATTCAAAACATATTTGCCACTCACATCTCGCCCTTATTCTTGTCCTTTAGCCACTGATGCAACGTTGAACTGTTAAACTGAAGCGCACCTTTTAGACCACCTTTACACTGAATCTGCATGATGGTGTGGGAACTTCTCACCACCTCAATGAGACCCACGCAGTCTCCAATAGACAAGCAGCCATAGGGGAGCATTCTGGGATACCAAAAATTTGAGAGTTGATATAAAATTGCACATCTTTTCAAGATCAATCAAGACTTGTCTGCAGGAAAATTAAGAACAACTTAACATTAATACCTGGTTAACTACTATTTATTTGGCTGAACAATGTTTTGGTTACCAGGCAAGATGTTTAACCACTACGCCCACATACCTCAGGTCCAGCCCCTGATTTTGCCAAATGTTCTCCATTATTCTGATGATCTGTAGTGTCAGCATGTCTTGCCGCAGGTCTAAGGAAAGCAAAAGGTTTTGTTTTTTACCATATAAAAAGGACATTCATACTAAAAACGAAAAAAAAAAAAAAATCTGACCATCCCCATTCTTGAAGATGATCTCATTGTTTTGGAAGAGAAGTTCGGACATGATGTCAGGATTTTCCCAGTTCAGCCAGAGCGGTCTCTTGGCAGAGGACATGATTCTGCAGTCTTCAAGTCTAACAGGCAAACAGAAAAACAGTCACCAATCAAACAGACTACCGTTCAAAAGCGTGGTCAGTGTTTTTTGTTTTTTAATAGTTTTTGAGAGAAGTTGTGCTCACCAAGGCTGCATTTATTTGCTCAAATTCAGTAAAAACAGTAATATTGTGAAACATTATTACAATTTTATATTTATTTTAATATATTTTCAAATGTAATTTATTCCTGTGATGCAAAGCTGAATTTTCAGCATCATTACTCCAGTCTTCAGTGTAACATGATTCTTCAGAAATCATTTTAATAAGCTGATTTGCTGCTCAAGAAACATTTATTATTATCAGTGTTGAAAACAGTAACAGGTTCTGCTTAAAATTTTTGTGGGAACTGTGATTTTAGGAAGAAACCGTAGGAAGTTCAAAAGAACAGCATTGATTTGAAAAAGCACATTTTGTAACATTATAAATGTCTTTACTGCTATGCTTGATGTTGCAGTAAAACCAACATGTCTGCTAAGTAAACATACATTCTCTCAGCTGTAAATGCTGCATAGTGTGGTACTCACCGTAGATTACCCAGCTGGTGGGCGGGGTTGAGTGGAGAGGTGAAATTTTGGAGGGCATCCATGTAGTCTGGTCGCCTCATCTGCTCCACCAGGAACTTCATTTGCACCTGAAAAACCAAAACAAATACACTTTAAAATAAAAGTGAGTCAATAAATAAAAATATAATTCTAAGGTCAACATCAGGGCAATGAACGATCTTAGATTTTTATTTAATTTTATTGATTTTTCTATTTTCTACTGCTCTATTATCGATTTCCCACTACACCAGGAGGCGGGTGCAATAAAATGAAATGAAAAATAAAAATGCATGTATCAATAATTTTATCACATATTAAAAATGACCACTTTCATTTTGATAATTTTTGTTCCATAATTCCATAATTAACTCCTAAATTTTAAGTTGTATTTTTCAGTGATGTTGTTTAATTTTCAGTTATTTATCCGTTTTAATTCAATAATGTTTATCAAATTGCAGATTCATTAATCCATTTATCCACATGCTAACAGCTGCTTACTTGATTTTTACATTATTTATACATTTCCCAGTTGATTTATTGATTCCTTAACTGATTTTTCAATAATGAAATAATTATGATTTGAGCCCCCATTATGAAGAGCTTCTCAAACCTGATTCACAGCAAATGCAAAACTTAATAGGCTAATGAACTTTAGGCTTAACTACTTAACATCGAGTGGGATGTTTATTGTAATGCCTGAATGCTTTTTAAGGATCACCTCACAGAGTGGATGTTGTATCCTCCGTAAATCTTATCTGAGAGCTAAGGTTTCACTTGCAGTGTACGTAAAGACTCTCCTAATATAACCTCACGTGCCCATGCAACTACCTACTTTTTGGTGAGGTGAGAAGGTCAAAGGCTGAGTTTACCTTCTGAGTTTCATCCTTCTTCTCCTGTTTGAGAATGTCAGTGAGGTTGATGAGCTTCTCCATGGCTTCCACCTGTCTGCTCAGGTGCAACCCCACAAGATAGGTTACAATTTAACTTCATTTGGAACTTCAGAAACATGATCATGATGTTTAGGTCAGTGTACGTAAAACCCTGACAGAAAAGAGAACAAAAAGAGGAAATCTCTTACTTCAAATGCCAAAAGAAGAAGTGCCCAATCCTCTGGTTGGTAAGAGCTTTTTTCAGCAGAAATCGCACCAGTGGGTTATCAAGATACTGCTCATACTTCAAAACCTTAAACAAATGTAAGATGAAACATTGAAAAATCAAAAGTAAACACAAGGACATTTATAATTAATAACTGAATATATCAGTCTTACCTGAACCAACTGAATGAGGTACTGTGAGAGTTTATCATCAGTAAGATACTTCTCAAGGCACCGAACTGCGAAGTCTCGGATCATTGGATCAGGATAGTTACAGTCAAGCAACTCCATGGCTTGTTCCGGCTTTATTGCGGGCCAGTCTTTAAGAAGGCAATACATCTGTGCAACTTCATCCCTAGAATTCCACTTCACCGCCAGAAGAATCTTGGGCAGGACTTCTGGAATATTTACACAATACTGCCTAGAGTAAAAAAAACACAAATACAGTTTTAAATAAACTTTTCTATCAATAGGCACCAAAATGAGGAGAGCTAATGGGGGCGTTAGACTACCTGTGTCTCCATAAGAAGTCTTTTTCCTGCTCAGTGATCTCAGAAAGCGGGTCCCTGTTGCCCAGCTGACGAAGTTGCTCTATATCAGCCTCCGTCATGGCGTGGTCTCGCGCGAGTCTGCTGCTCTGTAAGTCAGATGAGAAACTCAATTAATAAACACAGAACAAATTTCACAAAGAAAAATGTCCTTGCAAAGGAAAATAAATTCATTCATATTTTATTAATGATTAATATTTACTTAAATTTAATAAAATTTAAAATATTGCAATATTTACAAATGTATTTCTTTTCTTCCATTTTATTTTATATACATTGCCATTCAAATGTTTGGGGTCAGAAATACTTTAAGAAATTCATACTTTCATTCAGAAAGGGCCAAGGGCACTTCATTATTCCACAAAAATAATATCAATATTGCTGTTTCTTGAGCAGCAAATCATCATATCAGAAAGTAGTATCATGTGACAATGTGAAAATTCAGCTTTGTCATCACAGGAATAAATTACATTTTAAAATGTATTAAAATAGAAACCAGTTATTTGAAATTGTAATATTATTTCACAATATTATTATTTTTATTGAATTTTTGATCAAGTAAATGCAGCCTAGTGAGTACAAGAGACTTCTTCAAAAACATTTTTAAAATAGTACTGACCCCAAACTCAAATTCTTGAACAATAGTGTACTTTCAATGTGAATAAACCTCAATCACAGTTCATAAATGAGATTTTGAGCAACAATCTTTGCAAGACAGACCTAATAGGACCTCTGTTGTCATTAAACATCATATGGTGTCTGCTTTTGTAGAATTGATGCATCAGTGATTTTTAACAAGAAAGCAGTAGTTTTAAAGCCTTGATGAATCAGCAATGTTTTGAGAAAGTGAATAAGCCTCCAGGACCCATGCTGCTAAAAAAAGTATACTGTCACTGCTGAGATCTATTACAAAGTCAAATGAATGAACACAATAATTAATAATTGGAATAATGACACAGACTCGTGAGGTGACCGTAGAAAATGACAGATGTTTCTCATGCTCCTCAGGCTTGTAAAGGGTATTAATAGCAGCAGGAAGTGTGTCAGTATAATTAATTAATTAGGATGTGTGTCTGTAAGCTAACCTGTCCAGACTGGCAGTAATTGTATCCCATCTCCCTGGATATTATCCAGTTAGCATGATCCTCAATCGTGGCCATGTCAGGGAACTTAACAGGGGAGCTGAAATAGTCGAACTCCAGCTCTAGACATGGGGTTTCCTAGAGCAAAAATAAATGAATCAATGAAATATACAGCAAAACGCATTAACAAATTAAGTACCTAAATAACACTTTAATAAGAACTAATACAGTTTTAGCATCTATGCAGGTACACTCCTGAATTTTATATTAAGGCCATTAGATTTTTCTTGTAAATAAAAAAATAACTAAAACAAAATACTGAATAAACAGAGCTCAAAGAGGTTATGCAAGAGAGGAAACCTTATTAGGGTTGGAGCCCGTGACCCCAATAGGGTTGAGGAGGTCTTCAAGGCCGTGTGGTACTGGCCACAGGTTCAGTGCCATCTTTCCTGAGACCAGAGTGTGTGTGTAGTCAAACAGGTTGACGTTTCCCCAGGCCAGTGGACAGTGCTCCTGTAGAAGATCATTTAAATGTTCATTTCAAAGCCCTCTGAAGCAAGCACAATTAGAACAATAAAAAAATTTTTTATTATTAACTTACATTTTTAGAACTTTAATTTTAGTTTTGTTATGTGCTTTTGTCATTTTAATTATTTTTATTGTTTTTTTCTATTTTTATTTAGCTTTAACTTATTTTAATTTCAGTTTTAATTGTAGTCATTTTAGTATTTCAACAAACTTATTTTCAGTTGCCAAGGCAACATTTGTAGTTTCTTTTAATGCACATTCTCATTGATTATTTATATTTTATTTAAGCTTTATTTCAATTAACAAAAGCTATTTTAATAGTTTTAGTTTACCGTAACAACACTACAAAAAAACAAATCATCACCTCTTTTGCCCCCTTCCTTCCTTTCACAGAGCAGATGGAGAGACAGAGGCGAGCTGCCCGGGGGATGTCGGGAATGTACATGTCATAGGTCAGCCACTCGTTCCACCTGGAGACAGAAAGAGAAGATGTCAGCATGCTATCAATTTTTAAAAATGTATAATTTTGCATTTCAAATATCTAACACTTTTGGAAGTCATAATACTGGGCATGACATCAGGAGTCGGGCAACCTTCGGCCACCACTGGCACGGTGAGCGCAATCGCTGGCATACAAGAGAAATTAATATGACTAATTACCATGTGGCCAGGGCCAACAAGACTGAAGTAAATCTATTTACTTGTGCTACCCACTGGCAGCATGGACCTAGTCATCGAGTTGGATGGTACAACGCCACTCACACACTCTGCAGTGAACTTCGTATAAATGAAGGGGATATTATGAAATGAGGGTTTCTACAGAAAAAAAGGTGGGGTATTTATGTCACAGTGATTACCAAGAAAAATGGCACTTCATGTCAGAAATGCTGCACTAGAAGAAATTCCTTCTCTCCTTTGACATTTAAAGCCAACATTGCACATCTGCATACTTCGGTTCACTTTGGTTTTTACTACATTATAAAGTACGGAAGCCTGTTTCTGCCACAGAATTAAAAAAAATAAGATAATTGCATTTTTTTTTCTCACAACTGACTTTATTTTTCACATTTACGAGTTTATAGCTCGCAATTCTGAGATAACATCTTGCAATCTTTTTTTTTTTTCAGAATTGTGAGTTTATATCTCACAATTGCATTTCATGAACGTAATATGTGATTCTGTGCATTAATATGAATATGAAATGGAAAAAAATGCATTGAACAAAATATGCATTTTGACAGATCCTTTGATCCATGAAATTAGGCTCCTGTTAAAAGAGATATAAACTCAGAATTCTGACAAAAAAGTCTGGATTGCAAAATGTTAACTCAATTGCAAGATACATACTCATAATTGCGAGAATTATGAGATAAAAAGTCACAACACTTTCACTCAGTAATTAATCAACTATAGTATCAGATAGGACCAGTGATCGCATGGTACCTTGGGTTTGAACACGGCACACGCTGTGTATTGACATTATCACACAACTGTTCTCCACCATGGTAGATCCCTGTCCGCACATAAATCTGAAACAAAAGGTAAAAACCAATGAGCAAACAGCCTCTTAGATAAAGTAAATGCTAGTGCAGAAAATTATAAGAAGAAACACACAAACAGCTTCCTGTTCTTTCACAGTATGAAACTTCTGCAATCTTACTAAACACTTCCCATTCGTTTTTTTTATTAAAAAAAAGACATCAGCTAAGCACCTTGTCAATGTCCCGAATATTCACATTAACGTATGTAGCACAAAGGACACGTATCCTTAGAGTGCTGTTAATGGTCCAGAGTGATTTGGTGGAGGCCTCTCCGTTCATGTAAGGCGTGGCGGTGGAGATGCGGCGGGCATAGGAGGGCATGGTGAAGTTGTCCATAGGCAGCTGAGAGTAAAGACTGTCCTTGGACATAAGCATGAGGTTTGGCAACCGACCCAGCATAATGCAACTCCGTACATACTGACAGAACCAGAAAGAGAGAAACAGTGAGAGATTTTGTACATAAAGCCACATAATCAGCACATCTCATGGACTGTTAACTCATCCAAAATGTCCAGAGCTATTTTTAGTGTCCTAAACACTAATTCTGGCCGTGCTTTTTGATGGGATGATATACAACTTCAAATGCAGCCGGATACTCATTTGCATTCTGTGTACTGGCTGGTTTTGAGATAATGAAAGCCTGGAACAAACACATGACGACTAGAAATTTCAGATGGCTAATTAATCAGTGCCCAGTATGAAACCACAAATCTGTACTCAAGATAAAAATATGAGAACACAAAAAAAAAAGTATATAAATTGCATTCATACACAGAATAAAAGACGGTTATTCAAGTGAGACCAAAAAGGTCTAGATACCTTGTACTGACTAATGGGGTACTTTTCCAATAGATACTCGTCACAGCCGCAGACCTTCAGGATGTATTTGCCTTGATATTCTTGCACGCACATCTTTAGCTGTTCGGCGGACAGCAGCATGCTCCTGGTCTTCTTCCTGATGGCTTCAGCGATCACCTGCTCAGGTACGCAGTCGTGATTGATCTTTAGTGTGTACTTTTGCTTGTCGTTGTTGGGAGAGACGATCACCCAGATGACCACAATGATTTGACCTAGCACACAGAGAAGACCAGAGCGTTAACAGGAACAGCATTATTGAATTGATTCCTTCAAGCATTAAGCATGTGAGAACAAACAATTAATCCCACATGGCAACTGAGTGTGTTAAAAAGAAAGGCTGGATATTGAATGCATCCCAATGAAGTTGTCAGGGAATGAATGTAATGAAGTGGTTGTGCTTGCATTCCTCCAGGGTAAGAGGAAACAGAGGAGCAAAAGCAAAAAACAAGCATCATATGCTTCATGACTACTACTATTAAAACACAGGCCCATTCACATATGAAAGAAAACAACATTGCTGCAATACAAAACTTCCTGGAATGACTTTACACCAGGGGTGCCCAAGCTCGGTCCTGGAGGGCCGGTGTCCTGAAGAGTTTAGCTCCAACCCCAATTAAACACACCTGAACCAGCTAATCAAGCTCTTACTAGGCATACTAGAAACTTGAAGGCAGGTGTGTTGAGGCAAGTTGGAGCTAAACTCTGCAGGACACCGGCCCTTCAGGACCGATTTGGGCACCCCTGCTCTACACTATGAAGATTACTACTGGCTTCAGGGTATAAACCATAAGGAAACATTCCATGCTATTTTCAACCTCAGAATTAATGTGCCGCATCTGTGGCATGCTGTTGATTACCACAGTCAATAATGTCGACTGGTCCGTCAATGTGTATTAACAAAAACACAATGAAAGCCTAGCAGGCAGTTGGGCAGCACCATTAATAAATGTTTAAACCATGCAAATATCACACTGTTTTGAAAGTGCCTGTTCAATAATGTGCTAGCATTAGACTAGTGTGGTAAATCAGAATTTATATCAAATATAAAATCAGCATTTTCAGCTTTTTGACTATATTTGAAATATTTAAATTTATATATATTTTCCTCAACATTTCCTTAAAATATAATATTTAATTATTTTTATTTTAATGCACTTTTAATTCACTGTAAAATAAAGATAAAAAAGTATATACCAAGACAATTTAGAGCATGGAAAATCAGAGACTTCCTTTTATTTATCTGAGGAATGATGCAAACAAATTGTTAAATCAATTTTTTTAAACAAACAAACGGTTCAAAATAAGTTAAATTTACATTAGGTAGTATATTAAAATATCTCTGACTTTTGACGCTCACATACAAGTCAGGACACAAGCATGACAATATTTGTGTAAAAAAAAAACACTAACTAGGAGCTAAAAAAAAAACACTGAATAATGTATATAATTTAAAAACCTGAACACGGTTCCTTTAGCATAATATATGCACAGGAATAACAGGAACGGACCTAGAACCGTAATTAGGGTTGCCAACTTCAGAAAATGAAAATACGGGACAACTGTGACTCTACATGGGAAAATAAGGGACGCTCAAAATATTTGTTCTGTACCACATAGAGTATGTCATTTCCGTGTCTACAATTAAGTGTGTATAAAAGGTTAAAAATAATCACAGTTGTTTTGCTTAACCTATGTACAATTATTTTAAAAAATAAAGTTTATTATCATACAAAAAAGTCACACGTTACACACAAAGCATCGGCCCGAGTAAATTTTACCACTATAGAATTGTGACTGCACAAGTGGTGTAGTAAATTAGGAGATGAATATACTGTGAAATTACATACAATATGGCACAAAATTTGAAAGTATAACAACTGAATGTCTATGAAACGTCAGTCAATAAAGATTTTTTTTAAACAACGGCATTTCAAATTTTGAACAAATATTATTGCAACCATGTCGCCTATGAATGCGTGAAAATTAATATTTTTCAATTAAAGAGAACTCTGAGTGTGTGGGCTGCTTTTGGTGCTTGAATTTGTTCATCAATAATGAGGTCCAAGTTTAGGAATACACTAGAAGTTAACATTTTAAAAATGTGTAATTCTGTTTCTCTATTTAACAACATTAACTTACAATACTGAAAGACGTCTTCCCTCAGGTAGATTGCATGTTTTCTTGCCTAGCTGGAAGTTGTGCTTATGATCAATAATCACGTTCTTTACATTCACCCAAACTGATTTCCTGAAATCAAAATGCGGATGGTGAAGGGGATTGCCGTTAGTGCGAGCGACCAGGCGGCAGAGGATTCTGCAAGGTCTTAAAGCCTTCCTTGAGTGGCTATGTTCGCAATTCAAACAATGATTTGTGCAAAAAGAATGATTAAATTTGTTATTTGTATGGTCTAGATGGTCATACGGTGTATGCCTGTGAATACGGGACAAACTGCGGTCTGTAGAGCTTTCATACGGAACGCTTCTCTGATGCCTTAAATACAGGACAATTCCATATTATACGGAACAGTTGGCAACCCTAACCATAATGCACTGTTCTGCAGTTGAGTTCTGCAAATTCTGCCCACAGAAATTACACTGGTAAGTCATAAGCAGAAGTGCCTAGAAAAGTTGTCTCACTTCAAAAGAACCATTTAAAGAACGTCATAGCTCAAGAAAGACTTTTTTTAGCTCTTGAAGAAAATGTGAGTTTGCATGGCCAAGCACCATTCAAAATCTCAATGTTAGGTTGTTCTGAGTAGCTCCCATGTTGTTATGCGTTTGCTTGGTGGACTTACAGGCCACCTAGCAACCGTATAATGTCTCTGAAAAAATAATTCACCAGTGTTATTGACAGCCAAAGGAAAATTGTAAGTCTGTAACTAAGTAAAATAAAGTAATAGCTTTGCACAATTCGAGGTATCATACCCATACAACAGAGGGCGGGGCAAGTTACGGCCAAAGATTAAAACTTAAAACCACTAATAGCAATAATGTTTTACAGAAGAATTCATGCAAGTAAATGACAACATGCCCTTTGGTCCATAAACTTGAAATTAAAAATAACCCAGAATATTCCTGTAAAAGAACAAACCTACCTTTGTCTAATTTGCCATATATATGCTTTGGAAGCTCTGATGAAGACTCCACGTTAGGAGGATAAACATATAGCGCTCGACTGTGTGACCCAGTGGCATCTCGCAGCTCTACTGAGTCTTTGCAGACATTAAGAATATTTCTCCTAAAGTCCTGCACCTCAGGATCCTTCACTAGATCAAACTCGCACACCGGCATGCCGATGGCAAAACCTGAAACACATTAAAAAACACCATCTTAGAACAAGGTAAGAAGAGGAAAGAGATAAACATGCTGAATCAGATACAATACCCTTCAAAAGTTTTTTAAACTTCAACTTTTTAAACTAATTGATTTGAAAATACAGTAAAAAAAACAAATAAAAAAATAAATTAAAAAAAAGTAATATTGTGAAATAATATTACAATTTAAAATAACGGACTTTTGAATGGTAGTGTATGTTTTTCAGAAATAGGGATGTGAAATTCATTACTGAATTTCAGTTCAGGTGAAATGTTTTGAATTTGTTTCAAGTCATGCTTATATGCATATGGTTATTAAAAGAAAAACCAGCCCATGTGTGAGGTGTTACCGATTTCTCTGTTGAGGATTTTTTCCTCTCTGTTCCCTACAGGTTCTATGACCTTTAAGAAGGGCTGGAACAGCCGAAGGTCGCAAAGTCTTCTCGTCTCATCGTAGAACTCCTCACGCTCCGCCTCTTGCGTTACACTGACGAAAATATAGGATGTCTCCTCCTGCAGCAGGTGGTGGAGGGGGTACTTCCTTGCCTCCTTAAACAGTTCGTGTTTGATTGTGATGAGGGTGGCCTCCCGGAGACACTCTAGTGTCAAGATCATGCCATTGGGCAGTAGACAGTCTACCAGAATCCTGGGGGGCATCAAATGGATGCCCCATAGTTCCCCTGAGGAGGGTCTTGGAGGCATGATGTGTAGTCCTCACAATCTTTAACAGCGGAAAAAAAACCTCCAACCTCTTCTTCACCTGAGGGGGAACAGGATGAATAAAGTATGTTTTGGCAACATGTTTGACATCATGCACTGTTTTCAATAACAATAAAAAAAATCAACGGAAAAGACAAAATGTTCAGCATTGCAAACTACACCTCAGATAAACAAGTTAGCATGTCCCAAAAGAAACAAATTAGGTCTTGAAAGACAAACTGTAACAAACAGGAACATAGATCGTAAAAAAAGCATAATAAACAAAAGTGATGCTACTGATTGACCTGCGTTATTTAAAGTTTTACCTACTGATATCACTAATCATATACACTACCATTCAAAAATGTGGGGTCTGTAAGGCGTTTCCACAAAAATATTAAGCAGCACAACTGTTTTCAACATTGATAATAAATCTGAGCAGCAAATCAGCATATTAGAACGATTTCTGAAGGATTATGTGACACTAAAGGGTGGAGTTACGGCTGCTGAAAATTCAGTTTTGCATCACTGGAATAAATTGCATTTTAAAATATATTAAAACAGAAAACAGTTGTTTTAAATTGTAATAATATTACAATATTACTTAATATAACTATTTTTACTGTATTTTTCATTAAAAAGCAGCTTTGGTAAGCATAAGAGACTTCTTTCATAAGCATTTTTAAAAATCTTACCAATTCCAAAGTTTTGAATGATACCTAAAATGACACACAATAGTACTAAACCATGAAGCCAAAAGAATCATTTAATGCAGTCACATCACTGACATCAGTCTTAATAAAAAACATGCTTACAGGAAGTGCAGTACAACCCAACAACACTGAGTCACTGAGCAATGACAGAAATGTATCACTCTGTGAGAGAGGAGAGATATTTCCACATAACAGAGTCAAAAACACTTGGCACTTCATACTGAAGTGGATGTCTTGTTTTTCCCTACAAACATGAGCCAACAAACAGACTCCCGTATGCATCTCCTAGGTGTAAGGCTGCTGAAAGCGATTCACCAATCTGACAAACAGCACCTTTCACCATGTTAATGTGCGATCTGAAATTATTGGATTTTAAAACTAGGCCATGTGAGATGAACACGTCAGATCTTTTGTCCTGACTATACTCAGATGTAGTTCTTCCAGTTTATTCATGTAAAACACCATGCAAATGTTTATTACAGAGCTCTGCGAATCTTGGTAACACCACTTCACACTTTCACACTTTTTATTGCTAGTAGACATCTCTTCAGAGTAAAAAGAAAGCAGATGAATCCATATTTCCATAAGATGGTGGCATTTGTGCTTACCTTAATCTGATGTTAGGGCTGCTTGTAAATGTAAATGTTCATCATAGTTCAGACTTTCATCTGATCTGTTTGCTTTATAACTTCTCTTCAGGTCGTCTGAATTATACTGAAACAACTGCAAGGATGACAAACATTCAGTGTCTAGTGGAAAGCAGACCAACACACAGTTTACCCAAAACAACTCAACCTATACCCATGCCAACACTACAAACCACAACAAACCTCCACAGCAATGTTTAGAGTGACAGAGATGGGAAGATAATAAGATTACGAGGTTTATCATTCTTGCATATGAATAGACTGAGCCACAATGGCAGAGAACCACTTGCTAAAATTAACTGTTTATAAACATAAGTCAGGTTTATTACAGCACCTTAACGTTATATCCAAGTGTATTAGTTCAATCAGGGTAGAAACATGCATTAATGTGACTATAAACCGGCTTCATACTAACGTTACACCGCTAAACAAGTGTTCCATAAATAAACAAGGTGAAATTTATGAAAAATATTTTAGTCCATAAAAAAAAAGAAAAAAAAAAAAAGTACTATATCTTAAAGCAGAAACCTATTTTGAAGGTTCATAATATACAAGACATATTTAGCCAGCTAACAATCCCAGACATAATATACTAATTAAAAGGAAACTGCCATTTACATTTGTTAAAGAGCTTAAAAATTCCAAAATAAAAAGAAATCTTGGTTAGCGTGTAAATAAGTCATTAAAGATGGATTATTTCTTAAAACAATAAGATATTGATTCATTTAGCCACCTAGCCGCTAGGCTAATCCGCCAAACGAACCCGACAACTTTCATATAAAAAAAAAAAAAAATGCAGTAATATTATTTTAGTACTATAATATAGTAAGATTATAGTCATAAAAATCACATAAACTTTAAAATACCACCAGCGTTGTTATTCAAAACAATAACGGAATAAACACATATCTCACGTTTATGTGTATAGCTAATAAGAGTATGTACCGGAGAGTTGTTGTGAGGTAACCCGCTGTTGGTGTTCAGTCACTCGTTCAGGGCTGTAAATCCAGCGCGGGGCTTTGCTGGGCCTCTAGCCGCCCCGCTCTGACACGCACCGCCTCTCCATCATCACAGCAGCGGCGGCGGCGGATCGCGAGCAATGTTTTCACACAAATCATTCATCACCGAGGAAGAAAGACGAAATACATGCTGTCCAATATCCCATGGATTGGATAAAAATCGCCAGAAACGCTGTCACGACGGAATAAGGGAGGATCTTGGAAACAAACAAGCAAGCACCAAAGTGGCCAGATAGATAAGAGGGAGGGTGACAGTGCTAAGAGAGAGAGAGAGAGAGAGAGAGAGAGAGAGAGAGACCCAATTTAACTCCCTTTTTTTCTTCTTCTTCTTCTTCAATCATCCCGCTATAGTACTGGAGCAGCCATATGTTCAACAAACACATGCTAAACAAGCGGAATAAAGTGTGAATTGTTAATCTCGCCAGAAATCCCTAGAAATCGTAAATATGATATTTTATGCCATCTTCAGGCTGCAAATATATGCGCAAAATGTGCCTTTATACAGACTGCTTGATGTTGTACAAAGGCACACAGGAATTGCAATTGCATAAATGTTGAACTTAAATGTAATAATGAATGGTAACGAATAGACAAATGTTTAAAATATTAAATTATGAATACATTAGACTGCATAAGCAACTTCTCTGAATTCTTTATCATTGTCTTTACAGATATACCATTTTTTCATCCGTACTAATTTAGATCTATACAGTATATAAAATAATAGGCCTATAATAATAATAATAATAATAATAATAATAATAATAATAATTAGTCGTAGTTTGTTTATTGACACTACTATTGATTTATTTCTTTCCAGACGTGTAAAATACAGAGAAATTACTGTGTATTTTTTATTATAAATGAAAGTAAATTTTTTTACTTTAACTTTAATAAGTTTTCACAATTATATGTAAAAGTAATTTTAAAATGTAATCTAAATTTATTGTTGATCATTGCAATAATTATTTACTTTGTAGTTTGAACGTCTAAATGGATGTTTAAGGAGCAAAAAGTAGCCTTGAGTAAAAATACAAGTATACAGTTTCAACACTACTCGCGGAAAGTTCAAATGTACTTAAATTATATAGATAACAGTAACGAAGTACACTACCTCAAGTAGGCTACTTCACACACCCGCTTGCCAAGTCACAGGCTCGGCGCATCTTCTCATCGCGCGTGCTGAATCGTCAATCAGATTCTCACATAGATAGGAAATGGACTGTACCAACTAGGGTGCGGGAGACGTTACTGTAAATTGCACAATATTTCCGACCATTGGAATTGTGATTACGAATACGATTTTCCAATGCATGTATTAGAATAATTCAAATCTCCCTCCATCTCATTTATCCAACGTTTTCCTCGTATTTCTAGTGTTTTTGAAACCGTATATGGATGAAAACACCCCTCTGTTGGACGTTTGAAGCATGCGGTGTACGTCTGGCTTGAAGAAGTTGAGCAGCAGAGAGAGCTTGAAAGGATGCAGGGAAGATGGCGATGAATGTAAAGAACAGAGATGCTTTTTATTCAAGTGCTGACTATTGCAATATCTACAGCTCTCAGCCTGTAAACTATGGAGATTGCAGCCATTATTTCCCTCGGATGACAGGTAAGATGAGACAATGTTTTCGAAATGATTTTCAGTGTATTGCGTTATAACTGATGTTCTGCATCAAATTTGCTTTGCACGGCAATGGTTTAAAATAGGACTTTATTAGGGCCCGATCTTTATTTTTAAATAATGGAAATATTTATGAGAAGAAAGGTCTTGATGTCAGCCTAACCACTGACAGATTGAGAATGAACATCCCCATCTGCATTGCCAAAGGATCATGGCACATTAAAAATGTTAATGGAATGTTATGTACATGACCAACATATTTCAAATGTCACTGAAATTATTCAGGTGCAGAAATTCTTTCTGTGCTATCCCACTCTATTTCTGTTAGGCTATATAATGATATACTGCTTAAGCTCTGCATGGATGTTATGTGTTTGCATTAGATCAAGTACCAAAAAAAAAAAAAATCATGCATGCAAGCATGCTTTTTCAATTTATGCTTTTTAACAGAGCGTGGACTAATAAGAAGTTTATTTCTTAAATAGAAAATTATGCAGAATAGAATATGAGGCACGTTGAATGAGGTGTCTGGTAGGTTCTGCCCATGTCCATTGTCACACTTGAGTCTAGATTACATATGAAAACTATAACTGTGCTGATATGGAGGAACATGCAAGATCAGTGATGATTTTTGGCTAAACCTCCCAGTAGGAGTCCATAATGCACAATCTGCAGTCCATGTCCTCACAAAACACAAGGGACCACAAGGTTACAAATGTGGATTTTATTTAAGAGGACTCCTTGGCAGTCTAATTAACCAGGCCATACAGGACATTAAAAATGCTCAATTTTTATTTATTTCACATGAGAGCACTCTGCAAATCATGGATGAAGTGTTAAAGTGGCTTTTATATATGGTGAGACACTGTGCAGCTCTGGTAATGCATTGAATTCTATTCGCCAAAACAGAAGGACGAAATGCGTGATGATCTTTATCATCTTGATCTTAACACTGCAGAATGTCCCTTAAGCACATAGAGCAACCAAGCATGTAATGCATTTATTCTGCTCTCAATAATTGATGCTGTCAAAGAACAACTGTACAATGCACGAACAGCTTGGAAGTGTTTTGCAGCGGTGCGTGGTATAAAACAACCTGCAGCATCAAGTGATAGTACTGCTTTACCTTCTCATGTGCCCTGCATACCTTGCATTATAGATGCCCAATGAGAACAATCCTCCCTAAATCTAAAAATATTTGATCCTAATTCTGATGAAAGAGCAGATGTTTGTTTTCGTACTCCAACTAAACTTTGCATTGCTTCTAAAAAACAGTGTATTTAATCTGAATGGAGTGCAGGTATGTGTCCCTGACCTTGAGTTGGGACTGTAGGTTCTACTTAGACCTATTTCTGGGCTTGTATTCTCTGATGACCAAGAGATATCAGGTTTGTTTTCAGGTCAAAATGAGAAGAATGTAAAATGGTAGGCCATTGAAATGTTTTCAATAGTGCAAATGATGATGCAGAGACAACTACAAGACAAGGTCATTTTTTCATAGCCAGACTTCTGACTATTGGTGTCAACTAATTCTTGCCTAGAACTACCCACTCTGATAGGAAAGTGTGCATGATCAACATGAAAAGCAACCAATCACAGTCCATTTTGTTAATGGAATACATCCAAGACGTACATGTGTTTGTTTCTTCATCAGAACAGATTTGGATAAATTTATTAATAAATCACTTGCTCACTAATGGATCCACTGCAGTGAATGGGAGTTGATAAAAACATTACAGTAATCCACACGACTCCAGTCCATCAGTTAACATCTTGTGAAGTGACAAGTTTAAGCTACAATACCCCTGTTCATAATCTTGTCTGATATGATCAGGAGAGAAATATGCACAGATCAAGTACATTTTACAAGCCTAAACCGTTCTAGATGTGAGAGGACAACAGGTGATGGACTTGATGGACTTGATGGACCTCACTGGAGGAAGTGTTACTATGGATTTTGGATTGGTATTTTGGACAGAAGCAACAGCTTGAAATTTTATCATTAAGACGTTTTAATGACGAATATGTTTTTTACAAACATGCAGCTTTTCACTTCACAAGACGTTAAGTGATCGACGGGAGTCATGTGGATTATTGTGATGTTTTTATCAGCTATTTGGACTCTCATTCTGACGGCACCCATTCACTGCAGAGATCCATTGGGGAGCAATGGATGTAATGTTACATTTCTCCAAATCTGTTCTGATGAAGAAACAAACTCATCTACATCCTGGATGGCCTTAGGGTGAGTACATTGTCAGACATTTTTATTTTAGGGTGAACTATGCAATGTATGCAATGGAAATTAATGCAGTGGAGCATGCAGTGGAAATTGTGATGGCCTATTCTTCCCTTTTACGATGTAGGCCTATATCAGAGTAAAATAGTTTATTAAATAAGAATAAAAAAAAAAAAATGTAGGTTGGAACTTGTTTTTGGAATTGATTAGCTCATTGGATTTGTTTTGATTATGAGGGCACGTGATTTAAAAAATGATGTGCATGAATAAAGGCCTGTTCACACCAAGGACGATAACTATAAAGATAACGATAAAGATATAGTTCTAAAAATCGTTCTCAATATTAGAGAATAGCAGAGTCCACACCACAGCTATAACAATAAAGGCATAGAGAAATTATATTGTTGGAATCACATTCAGAACAATTTTTTTCCAGCTGTTGAATGATAAAAACATTGACACCCAATCAGAATCAATCTTGCTGTAATGAGCTCGCAAATTTAAAGTGGCAGAGGAGCATGCACTTAGAATAAACAGACAGTTATTGTTCGCTGGTGTGGATGCAAATATAGTTATCTTTGTATTTATAGTAATCGTTAATGCTCTTGGTGTGACAGGCCGTAAATATTTTTAATAAACACTGCAATATTCCATAAAAAAAAAATGTTCGTTTTGATTTAAATGTGCCATCCGACTTCTGACTAAACCAATTATAACAGTTTGTGGGGTGGGATTAATTAACCAAACAAATGGGGACAGGGAGGACATTAGGGAAACCTGTTTAGAACCCATTTATATTGAAAATAAAACACAGAAAATTAAAATACGTTAACAGCTCCATTTATGGATATAAACAGTGGGGTATTTAAGAATTCCAAGAAGTGCCTTTCTAATGCTGACACCGTACAGGCAACCGGAAACAGAACCATTTGGCGCATTCTTATGTCTATTTCGGTCAGCTGAATCATTGTTGTCATGATCCCGTCAGAACTGATACACTGGAAATATCACACAGCCACGAAACAGCTGACTCTCCAACCCCCCCAGTTGCTCGGCCAAAGCACCAAACATGCACTGAGTTCAGGAGGCAGGAGTCAGCCCTAATCACATCCACAGAAGGCCATACTGCAAAGATTCTCTCTTGCTACATGAAGTGTCATGCTAAGATATAGTATCTTAAAATAGCTCATTTGCTGCACTAAAAATGTATGTGGCCTTTACATCTGTATTATGTAGCAGAGTTCTGTTATGTTTCTCCTGAGGGTAAATGTATATTGAGCTATAAAATGAATGTGGACATCATAGCTTTAATAAATTGCTTTTGATTGCAGACTTTGATATTGTATCTTTGAAACATTGATATCTCTTCTGAAACACCAGAGG